GATTAATAAACCGGCCATGGGGCAGGGGCGAAAAGTACAGTAGCAACCTCAAACCTTGCCCCAAAGTTGCACACAGGCCTGGCTTCTGGAGACACATATAGCACTACGGCGTTCCAGCAATACTAAAGCGCGCGAAAATCATTTGGGGGGGAGGACGATTTTAGGCCACCAGCCGACCTACCTTGCGGGGGGGGAGGGGGGGGGTTTTATTAATCAAGAGTTAACATTACACCTCTCGGTACACCGAACCAAGGCGGCTCATACCAACATGAAGGAATAAAACCTACATGAAGAAGGGATACGACGGATGCCCGACGGCATTGAGGGTGTTGGCGTCTCGGGGAGTTTCTCTCAATGCTTACGGCTTATAGTGCTCATCCGGCTGTTCTTGGCGAGGCACTTCCCCGCTACCGCCTGGGCCGGAGGTGCGAGCACCGGGTTGCGTGTGCTGCCACTGGAAGACAGCCACAGCCGCAGTCGCTCTCCTAGCTGCTTCTGCCAGACCTGGTCTTGGGCGAGAACCCGTGGGCGGGATTGGTTCTTGTGGATAATCAAACAGAAAGGGAACGTCGCCAGTTTCAGGCCCGCAGGAAACGTGAATGGGGTGCGCCCAGCTGGTCGACTGGCAGGAGTCACAGACAACCTTGCAAAGGGCCACTCGGCATTTTGAGTTCGCTGGGGCCAGCAAGTACACGCCGGTCGGCAGGTATAGTGCACCGACACGGCCTCCGCTGCATGGACTGAATCTGAGCTCGTGTCTTGGTGGCTTGCCGGTGGGCTTGCCACGAAAAAATACCCGGCAGGCACCGCGATGAGCGATGGCAGCAAGGTGCCCTGGCTCGCCACCGTATTTGTTGCGCCACAACAGATGACTTGGGCCCGGGCTTGCAAGCCGGAGTGCAGACCTCCCACACCGTTGACCTTGTTGTTACATGCTCTACAGGGGCTGCCGCGAGAGATCTCACGACGATTTCTGTCTGCCTCGTCGTCTGTCTCGGGATACACTGTCATGTCGCGGTAGGCTTGCATGGCAGCCTGCATGAATCATGCGTGTTGCTCTCCATCCCGTGCCATGCCTTTCCTGCCGGCCTCACGTCGTCGTCGCGCAGTTGGGCGGTCGTGTGGTCCGTGGCGTCGTCTCCTGCCCTGCCAGTTGCTGTTTAGCTACACCGGCATGCCTCGGGCCCCGCACCTTGCTTTCGGAAGCTGTCTGGACCAGCGTGTCGTTTTCCTCGGAGAGCTCCATCTTCGGCTCGGATCCCTTCGGCGACCGCATACTGATACAAACTATGGACAGCTCGGCGCGCTGCGCCTGTGACATGGCTGGGTCGCTCCACTCCGAGATCTTGCAACTTGTGTCATGTGTGGAGTTGCTGAGCCGACTGGTGAGCTACGATATGCAGTCTGCCAAGCAAGTTTCGGTGCTGTTCTCTGCAAAGACGTGGAGCCACGCCCTTGCCCCCGGGCCGTGTGGTCGTGCAATCATATTCATCTCGCAGCTTTGCTCATTAACTCCCTCCACCCAAGGATTAACAAGTGCTTCTAACATGAGGCAGTTTTCGGCGGTGCTGTCCTTTTTGGGGGGGATATGGAGCTTGCTCTTGCTCCGGCCTCTCTTTGCTCCCTCTCTTGATCTTGCTCTCGCTCCTGCTCCTGCTCGTGAAACCTCTAAATCCCGTGAAAACCTGACCTCAACCCTAAACCCTAAACGCCCCCAACCCCAAACCAACAAACCCCAAGCCCTAGACCCTAAGCCCTAAACCCTAACCCCGCAAACCCATAAGCCCTAAAACCTAAACCCTAGGCCCTAAGCCCTAAACCCTAAGCCCTCTAACCCCAAAGCGCTAAACCCTAATACCCTAAGCCCTAAACCCAAAGCGCTAAACCCTAAACCCCTAAAGCCTAAACCCCTAAACCCAAAGCGCTAAACCCTAAACCCAAAGCTCTAA